ATGCAGCATACTTCATTTTCTAAAATGTAAACAAATATAAGCTTAAAAAACATGGACCAAGTGCCAGAATGCACCTCATCCTTCTTGTAAAAGTCTACATCGCGTCACAAACCCCTCCTGACCTATCAGGTATGACTGATGACCATCTTAAATCTTTGTTGCGATAACATCTTTATATCCTCATAATCTTTATCTTATCTGCAGAATGCTAAACACATAACAGAAGCTTTTTGTTTTCATATATTCTTTTAACTGTGCCATAGTTAAATGAAGGCATATGCTAAAAGGAAAAAGGACATTTTGACACTTGGCTAATTATTTTGAGCTTATTTGATTTGAACTTAGATATTTTAAATTCATCTGTCTCATAAGTCTGGCAAATGGACATTTAATGCACATTTTTCAAATAGAAGTTGTAAAAGGATTTCGACGAGTGAGTTTTCTTCTGTGTGTGGGAGTGTATAAATGTTGATTTAAAGTAGATACTTATTAATATTTTATTTATCAAGGACTGAAAGATGATGGGATGTTTAAAATAATATCTCAAAGTTGAGCTAAGAGCCTGTTTTATTTTGTTGTTGTTGTTGATGTTGTAGCTCACAACTGTGGGACATTTATCTCATGACAAATGGAAAATGTGAATCTCTAAAGTAACCAGTAACTCCAGCGATCAGATGAACAGAGGGGGGAAATGTTTAAAGTCTCTAAATTGTAAACCTCCGTACAGCATCAGACCTTCAGACAAGTTCTTTGTATCAAGTGTTGGAGGAAACAAACTTCAGCCTCTCTGATGTGTTAAAGCTGCAGCGCTCTGATAGCGTCAGCTCTCAGACAGGTTTGCATTTACAGTACAGGCCTTTAATTTGCTGCCTGTCACTGAGCGAGTCAGGCTGAGTGACATTTGTATTGCTGTCAGGCCCCCGGCCGTCCGTCTTCCTCCCTCCTCTTTCTCCTCTGTGAATCCTGATGAGGCGTCCGGCGGCGCTCGGCCCAACACGCCAGCCTCTGACTGAAGTGAAATCAATCAGCCCTTCAATCCTTCTCTAAAGGACCATTATCCGGCCCCGCCAGGCCTGTCGGCCTGCCTGCTTCAGGATCTATGACCTGATCCGCCTCTCTAATTCACACACCCGAGCTCGCTAACTCAAATCTGACAAGAAAGTGGACAACAGGAAACTAAGGAGGGTCAAGATTTAATGTTCAGTCTGTGTAAATCTTAAACAAACTGTAAGATGCTTGTAAAAGAATGTGGACAACTTTTAAAAAGCCTGAGTTAAAATGCTGTTTTCTCCCATCCAGCTCTCATTTAGTCTGTCTGATGACAGACAAGGATGGAACATTTTCAACCGCTAAGATGCAAAAAGTATTTTTAAAGGTGCTCTTCCAAAATGTGTTCTTCTGGGTGAACTGTAACGTCCATCCATCCATTGTCCATACACCGCTTAATCCTCACTAGGGTCGCAGGGGGGCTGGAGTCTAGACATATAGACTCCACACAGAGAGATCTCAGGTGTCCTCACCGGTACGCAAACCAGCGATCTTCTCGCTATTCGGCAACGGTGCAAACCAGCGACCACCTTGCAGCTCACTGTGATGTTCTTCTGTCTTTACATTCTATCTCCTAGAATTGTTGTTTGCAGACCAAATGTTTGGTCAGTCACACATTTCAGTCTTTGTGCTTCAAGACATTGAATTTGAGATGATGGCTGCTAGTTTAAAAGTGCAGAACAGACAGAACTGTGTGGGAGATACAACGTTTTTAACACTTGCTGCCCAAAGTTTAGATGTCATAAAGAAATCAGAGGCATACACGTGAAGCCTAACAAAATCGTCACATTGGCGATTTTGTGAAACAATCTTTTACGGTTGACTCAAAGACAGCCGACACTGTGTCTTCCTTGGTGATGCTCTCCCACCTTCACTGCAAATACCTCCAGCTTGCTCAAGTTTGCTGTGACTCTCTGTCGTTAGTCTGACCTTTAAAAAGTTTTTAACAAGTGGACTGAATTTGTCTGAATGTGAGCCCACAGAAGGCTCCTGTGCACCTTTGCATTCATCCTCTTTTTTCATCAATTAATGCCAGTGTGCCACTTCCAACGGGATGATAAATATGGTGGTGCTTCTGTTATGGCTTGAGCATGTATGTTATGATGAATGAACTGGTGCTTTAGCTCATGACCCACAACTACCAGTATCTTTTTGGATGTTTCTGTGAAATACAAGTTTCTGTTTCTGAGGTTTAAGAGGGAGTTGCTTCTTGTGGTGAGTCCTCTAAGGTTGATCACTGAGTCGGACACGTTTGTCTGCATTTTGAAAGACCTCATTGACTTGAAGTGCAGTCAGGAAGGGGTGTTTCTCAAACAAGCAAATGGTTTTCTTCTCATCTAAAAGAGCTGGCCTCCTATGTTTCCAAGTCATTTGCCATGTTATCCTGTGACCACCTGCTTTTTCAGAAAGAATCCAGCTGCTGATTGAGGCAAATCAGCAATCTTTGATGGATCTCATTATTGTCTTTTTTGCTCACCAGGTCACCTCCTTACACCTCATATTGACAGACAACTCCATCTCCGCCTCAGTCTTAATGGCAGTTCTCAATCAGCTGTGGGCCACATGTGAGCT